TAACTTAGATGACTTGCATACACTGCTTTAAACAGTTTTATCATTGTGCCCAATGCTTTACACAATTTTATCCTACATTTGGTTTCTTAAAATGTTATTCATATTTTAGTCAAATATTTTATTTTTGAAATCGCAAGAATCAAATATCATAAGATTGAAAAGTTTTAAATTTAAAAAAATACGAATACTAAATTTTACGAAAAAATTTATTTTTCTTCTCTGTTTCTTTAAGCATTCTGAAAGTATATTAAAAAGTATCCAACTTTTCGAAACATTTTGGTATTTCTGACAATCATTTTAAATAAAGTTATCGCCTTCCATTTCCTAAAGGCCCACAAACGGCCGAGCGGTAAAGTTGCTGAACACTGGTAGTTCACTCCGGGGTTCGAACCCGGTAAACGGGCTGGTTGCATGGCGTTTTCGTGGATTTTCTCATGTGTACCGCGTATGACAGCTGGTTTCCCTTAGAAAGTTCTTCACGAAGTATTTCGTCAGAGCCTTTATCAGTCTTTAGAGGCTAAACATTTTGAAGCTATGAGATGAAAGGAAAGACTGGTTTCATCAAAAGGTTTTGGTTTATTTTATTATGACTAAGCACACTACGGCTATCTGCCTAAGGGGAGGGATGCCTTCCTGGAGGACTTTCTAAGGGAAACTGGCTCGCATACACGTTACACTTGGGGAAAACCACGAAAACGCCCATGCAGCCAGCCCGTTCGCGGGATTCGAACCTCGGACCGAACTACCAGTGTTCAGCGACTTTACCGCTCAGCCGCTAGTTCATCAGGAAGGGAAAAAAACATCTTTAAGTGACATCCACATACATCACTGGATATAAACTCCTGAATCTTCAAATAATTCGACTGAGGAAATCATGGGATTCACCATTTATGATACGATATGATGTTCTATAACGTAATTTACACAACCATATAGTTTAAAACCAGTCGCTCTTCACTTTAATCTGCAATGATATCGTTTGTCTTTTCTGTTAACACAAGCTCAATTGATGGTATTTGCTGGTGTACTCGTCCAAGAGTTTTCTCTTTGAACACCTAAATTCTTTGAAAGTATCCTGAAAGTATATTCGAAAGCGTCCAACTTGTAGGATCCTGAGCTTGTAGGATTGCAGAATCGTTTTGATCCTAAGCTTGTAAGACAAACGTAATATCACTGGATTTAAACACTTCTTTAATCTTCCGAGAACGTTCCTTCTTTAGCTCATATTCCAAGAATATTAAGTGAATACAATTATTGCCAAAGAAATTGAATATTCATTTGCACTACGGCTTGGTAGTTTACTAACGAGTTAACAAAACTTAAATTCTGCTTTTTGTGTCAAAGAATGCAACAATATTTTAAATATTTACAAATAAAATATTAAATTGGAGATTTAATTGGAGACTCATCAGTAGCCTAGCATTTGAAAAAGAAAAGATTGTTAAATACTAATTGTTTGCTGCTCAGTCTAACCCAGGCTGCATGGTTGGTTTTCGTAGTTTTTTAGGTTCTCTTTACAAAGATTCTCTATGAAAGCATTTTAATCAAATAGCTCCCATGTTCTTTCTATGTTCAAATAACCAACTAACCTAGTTTAAGCGCGATTTCCAAGTGAAGTTACTAGCAAAATCCGAATACTCATAATAAATCATGTAGCTAGCCAATCGGATGTAACATGAAAGATACGGAACCAATAATTGAAATGTTGTTACGGTACGCTGTTTCTTAACTTAGATGGTCATTCCTTAATTAAATAGCCCACCAACGGCCGAGCGGTAAAGACGCTGAACATTGGTAGTTCGGTTCGAGTTTCGAATCCCGCGAACGGGCTGGCCGCATGGGCGGTTTCGTGGTTTTCCCCATGTGTAACGTGTATACGAGCCAGTTTCACTTAGAAAGTCCTCCACGAAGGCATCCCTCCCTTTAGGCAGATAGCCCTCGTGTGCTTTGCCATAATTAAATAATCCAATCCAATCCTTAATTAAATATAATTGATTTGTAAATTCTACTAGAACTGACGGTAAGAATTGAAGTGGAAATAAGTAATATGGTGTGCAATCTTGATTAATATAAATTAAAAATATTTGCATAGAAAAGTGTTCAGACAGAAAGTTTTTTTAAATATTTGCAATTACTTTATAAGAAGGATTTATTAATAACCGTAATAATTACTTATTATATTACTGATGATTAGGATTCTGTTCTTGACAATTACATTCTAAATTAGAATTTTAAGGATATAATGAAAATACACTACGCAAAAAAATACATTTTAGGAAAAAAATGAGTTGATTTTTTATGTTTTAAAACTTCTTAAATTCATTTAGTAAACATCGTATCCTCGTTGTTTATTGAATCCAGAATGTTGGTGTCGTTTATATAATTATTCTTACTTGTCCGCAGAATCTGCTGACTTATCCAGCCATTAAGTAGCTGCAGATCATTTCTACATAACCATTGAACTTCCATTAATTCAGTCTCTAGAGAGTTGTATGTTTATATCATAATTTGACTTTTATAAAAAATGATTATTATAAATATAAGGTTTCTATAAAAATATATTGTGCTTTAAAAATATGGATAATAGTATCAGCCGCTCTTTCAGCCACTTCAAAAGCAACAGTTTGTTTAGAAATAAATTATGCAGTTAATGTCATAAAATTCAAATAAATATCAAACGAAAATTCTCAGTTTTAGACAATTCGATTTAAACGAAGTAAAGTAGCAGACGATAAAACGCCGAAGGTAAAAATTTACTCTAACGAAAACTTACTCTTAATTTTTTTAAAAAAAAGAAAAAATACGAGAGAAATTAAAAAAAAATAGTTAAAAATTTGAATAATATCATGTATAATTTAAAAAAATAGACTTTCATATAGTATTAATAAATATTTATTACGCATCATTGAGGGAAAAAATGTCATATAATTAATTCTCCGTAAAATTTTACTTGAAGTTTAAGGTTAAAAATAGCTGTGGCAATTCAGTGTAACAAAAATCCATAGACCACATTTGGCGTTATTATCGCTCAAAAAAAAGGTGCCAAATTTCAAAACGCGAAATTATGTAAATTCGTGTATATCTTAGAAAATTTTGAATAAAAAAGTCTAATTTTTGCAGATATGCTTAAAAATACACCTACTTTAAGATGATGGTAAAAATTTTATAGGTTATAATTCAAAATTTTTTTTCGAAAAATCTATAGAAATTATTTAAAAATAGAAATTTAAAAAAATAAAAACGCAAAAAATGGGTAAATTTTATTTGGAATGAACCAAAATTTGAAATGTGAGAGAAAAAATCAAAAAAGTTTAATAGAAAAAGAGATATTAATAAATATTTGCCAAATTCAATTAACATTGAGGAGCTAAAATTTTGAGAGCTAATATTTTAAAAACTATTCGTACGATTTTTACAAAACTTGGTATTCTGGCATAATTTGAGTCGTAGAATCGAAATATGTAAAAAAATTGGTATGTTATTTCAGAAAAAGTCCGATTTTGTGTGAAAATACCTATGTTAGAATAGTACTATATATAAATCTAATATATATCCTAAGTCGCGCTTTCGAGACATGAAAAACGTAGTTTGAATTTTGTCAATCGGCCCAGTAGAACGGGAGATATAGCACTGTCCCATTTTTTTTTTTTTTTTTGAGCAGTGTACATAAAAACAAATAATTACAGTTTGAGAAAAATTGGATGATTTATTTAACCGATAGAGCTTCACAAACTGAAAGCGTCAGTAACGCGTTTGTCCACCTCTGGCCTTTATGCAAGCAGTTCGGCATCGATTGACAGAGGTTGCGGATATACGCCTGAGGGATATCGTGCCAAATTCTGTCCAACTGGCGCGTTAGATCGTCAAAATCCCGAGCTGGTTGAAGGGCCCTGCCCATAATGCTCTAGACGTGCTCAATAGGAAAGAGATCCGGCGACCTTTCTGACCAAGGTAATGTTCGGCAAGCAGTAGAAACATGTTCAGTGTGTGGGCGGGCATTATCTTGCTGAAATGTAAGCCCAGGGTGTCGTGACATAAAGAACAACACAACGGGCCTTAGAACTTCGTCGACGTACCGCTGTGCTGTAAGGTTGCGACGGATGACAATGAAAGGTATCCTACTATGAAATAAAATGGCACCATCAATCCTGGTTGTCGGCCTGCCTGTCGGAAGACCGTCAGGTTGGTATCACACCGCTGTCCGGGGCGTAACCAGGCTCGCCTTCGCTGGTCATCGGGGCTCAGTTCAAAGCGGGTCTCATCACTGAAGACTATTCTACTCCAGTCAGTGACATTCCAGTTCGAATGAGCCCCACTCCACTGCAAATGGGCTTGACGTTGCACAGAGGTCAGTGGTAGTCCGTGCAAGGGTCTGCGTGACCACAGCCCTCTTTCTGTGAGCTGTCTATGAATGGTCCCTTGCGGTCAATGAAGCACTATTTGCACGTACAATCGATGATATTGATGCATCTGGGGCCGTGAATGCCGCTCTGACGATTGCTGGATCTTCACGTTCTGTCGTTTCTCTAGGCCTACCGCTTCCTTCTTTACGCTGTGTGCGGCCATGGTTCACCCATTCCTGCCAACGTCGTCTAGTGTTATAGCTCCTGCTGAAATGTCGAGCTATTCGCCGATAAGACCAACTGGCTTCTTTGACCCAACTATTCGACCTCTCTCAAATTCTGGCATCTGCGCATATCGTTCGCGCACCTGTATGCCAAGCATAGTTACTGTCTACCAGAGTACACGGAATGAAATTCGTGAAGAATTTATGACCTAGAATCGTAGTTTCTCCTCATAAATAAGGTAATTGCCTCCTCTTAAATAAGGCTCCTCTTAAATAAGAGTTTCTCCTCTTAAATAAGGCATCGGTAATTGCCAGACGGTTGAAGCAGCTACAGGGGCATAAATGGGGTCTTAACCCACATATTCAGAAAATTTTATTCAAGACAGTTATCGAAAAGATTATTACGTATGCAGCAGAAGTGTGGGCATTTCCTATGCAGGGCCGTAAAATTAGACATCTGTCAGCAATCCAGAGACCCTTTGCTCTAAACATAACTCGTGCTTATCGCACAACAGCCTCTAATGCAATCAATGTTTTAGCGGGATTATTACCCCTCCACTTACGAGTTGAAGAAGAGGCTGTCAGGCAACTCATCAAACAGTTACGGCGTCCAGCTTACTTCTCTGATGAATATTTCCTTCCAGAAGAATATGAAATCCCGGCTCCTGATTTTCGTACCCATCCATCATTTAAAGGCATTGGTGTTCGCATCCAAGTTCAGCCAACTGCTACAGCTCTGCCTTCTCAAATAGAAATTTATACAGACGGCTCGAAAATCAACGAAAACACAGGCAGTGCTTTTGCTGTTTTGCGGGATCATATAGTTACACATCATTGGAAAGGTCAACTGCGCTCTCAAAATTCAGTCTTCCAAGGTGAAGCGATTGCTATTGCACAAGCCTTACGCTACTTAATCTTTTACGGTATTAAAAAAGCAGTTATAAAAACAGACAGTCTATCGTCGTTGCGTGCTTTAGGTAATCCTGACCATCCATCTACCATCATCCAAACCATTCAGCAGGACCTAAGAGAGCATTTCCCCCATCAGCTTAAACTTGAGTGGATCAAAGCTCATGCTGGGCATTACGGAAACGAAACTGCAGACAGTCTAGCCAAAGAGGCAGCTTCAGGCAATGCAGATACTCAAGTCAATATCCCATGGCCTATTTCTTATCTAAAGAAATGCCTGAGATTGAAGGCCATTGGACGATGGCAAGAGGAATGGGACGAGGGCTCAACCGGTCGACGAACGCAGTATCACATAGCGTATGTGGACACTGACCGTATCATTTCCAACCCTCAGCTCGTTCGATTTATCACTGGCCATGGTCCATTTCCGCAATATTTTGCAAAACGCGGGCTCAGCCATACTGAGTTCTGCTGCTGCGGAGATATTGGATCCCCAGAGCATTACCTGACCACTTGTCCATTGACATCTGATCTTCATATTCAACTGCCAAGTACCAACAGGCAGGCCTTCTGCAAATTTATCATAAAGCAAGAGAGATATCTGATTACAAAGGTTGTCAATTTAATGGACAAACTGTCTGCGCTGGGCATGGACTTATGTCAGACAGCGTAAATTCTCCTGCTGCCATAAACGTATGCTCCGTATGGATTATATGCAAATTTGTACCAAACAATATAATAGTCTTACACCAGCAAAGTATAGTACCGGTACTAATCAGTATTGTGTCAGTATTAATACCAGTAAAGTATTGTATCAGTATTGTAACATTTAAATATTATATATCCACATTTGTATCAGTAATGTAACAGTCGTAATTGAGTAAAGTATTGTATCAGTATCAGTATTTCCCATTTACAATTAATCACTATTAGTCAGTATTGAATGAGTATTAATACCAATAAAAGTGTTGTATGAGTATCAATATCAGTAACGTATTGTATGAGTATTAATATCAGTTAGTATTGTATGAGATTAATATCAGTTAAGTATGTATGAGTATTAATACTAGTAAAGTATTGTATATGCATATTTGCTCATGCATATATCGCATGAGCAATAAAAACAGTCTTACAATCAGTAAAGTATTGTATCACTAATATATCAGCCTTGTATCAGTAGTGTATCAGTTATATTTCATCAGTAATGTACAAGTAATGTAACAGTAGAACATTGATCTATGATATTTTAATTCTCATTTTTTTTTTGGGGGGGGGGATCTCTGTAACGTATAATTTCGTGGATTTATTTACCGACTTGTGCAAAATCATTCCCATTTCATCAGTATTAATATTCAGTTTTATATCAATGTATCAGTAATGTAGCAGTAGTATTAATCAGTGTTAATATCAGTACCAGTATTATATCAGCCTTTAATCAGTTCTGCATCTGTTCATATTTGCATCAGTAATATACCAGTAATGTATCTTGAATATTAATCTGTAACTCTGTAACATGTTATATTGTATGTCTTGTCGTGCACGTTGATTACCTTTCAGGTGGCATTATGTATCTTGAAGAGGTTCTATAGATGTACAAGTAAAGGTGCTATAGACAGTACAATAGTACAAGAAATGTAACAGTAGAACATTCATTTGTGATATTTTAATTCGCAATATTTTGAGTCTCTGTAACGTATTATTTCGTGGATTTATTTACCGACTTGTGCAAAATCATTCCCATTTAATCAGTAATAAAATTCAGTGTTATATCAATATATCAGTACTGTAGCAGTATTAATCAATGTTAATATTAGTATTATATCAGCCTTTTATCAGTTCAGCATCTGTCATGTTTGTATCAGTAATGTACCAGTAATGTATCTTGAATATTAATCTGTAACTCTGTAACATATTATATTGTATATCTTGTCATGCACGTTGAATACCTTTCAGGTGGCATTATGTATTTTGAAGGGGTGCTATAGATAGTGGTGGACGTGGTGCTATACTAATTAACCGTTTGATAAAGGGATAGTGCCCACGTCCTCCGTTCTCTCTCTCCTCTTAAATAATACCCTGCCAGCTGCGCAGATCAGATGAGCTGTAGTGACAACCGTTCATTCATTGGAAGACAAAGTGTAAAATTTTGCATTTTCCGTCGAAACCTGTATGCATATCAATTTACTTTATATCTTCTCGGTGCGTCATGGTGTTTTTTTTTTTTTTTTTTTTTTTTTTTTTTTTTTTTTTACTGCGTTCAATGGAAGACCACAAAAGTTTTCTTACAAAATATTTCCTGGAAATATTGAATCACCGTTTCACTCTTCAATAAAGCTCTTATCTAGTGAGCTCTTATCTAGTTCAATAAAGCTCTTATAGTGAAGCTTTATAGCGTTTGAAAAGTACATAGCTACAATGAAAAATGAATTTTTTCTGACAGATGCGTAACATCTCTTAGGCCAATCATTATCCCAGAATTTCTAAACATTCAAATGGGAAATCAGTTGCAATGCCAGTAATGACACGCCGCAACCTCATATTATTGAAGAAGAAAACTTTAATAAACAACCACATTTTCAAGTATTAAGCTCTTCCTAAACGCCAATGATGTTAACTCCTTCATTGCGATAAGTCCGTTTCTTGATGTCACGTACTTCGTCGCTTCAATGTTCACTTTTGTGACTGCTAAACTCAAATTATATAAAGAAAGGAGTGTCTTAAAAATTTTCTGGCATCACGTTACGAAGTATTTATATCCAGTTACTTTATGAGTGATCTACATTAAAGTTATCTCCTTCACTCATGTTTATCAGATTATTAATTTTACATAAGATATACAAGAAGCGCTTATTTTATTTATAAAACATGCATTCATATCCAAATATTAAAGTCAGACCGGGTTAAAGGTATTGGAAATGATTTCTTTCAGACTTAAAGTAAATTTTCTTACTTTCAGTTATGCCAAGTTACACAAATGCTAAGCTAATTAAAAAGACTATTTTATTGCGTATTTGCCCACCAGCGTCCGAGCGGTAAAGTCGCTGAACACTGGTAGTTCAGTCCGAGGTTCGAATCCCGCAAACGGGCTGGTTGCATGGGTGTTTTCGGGGTTTTCTCCATGTGTAACGTGTATACGAGCCAGTTTCCCTTAGAAAGTCCTCCACGAAGGTATCCCTCCCAGATGGAGCCTCGAGGGCAGAAAGCCCTCGAGGCTTTGCCGTAATTTAATAACCTAACCTTTATTGCGTATTTTACATTGGCTTATGTAACACATATAGTCTTTCAACTCATTTTAAAATGAAGAATCAGGCAGAAATCACTCTCAGATTTGCACTGCGTTTATAGAACATTAGATACATTTTTAGGAACATTAAGTGAGAAGCTCTTGTTTTTCAAGGTACAAAGGTATTTTGTTAAACTAGAACCAAAGATATAACAATGGAATAGTTAAACAGTTATTTAATCACAAGGAATGCTCGGCAGATTCACATAGGCAAATGAGTAACATTCCAGCGTTCCTTTTGTATTCTCTTTGCTATTACGTCGTATTTTTTAAAATTATCTTTTGCTTTTCGTTTGATTTTTTTACTCTATCGGATAATCTCATTTCAAAATTACTTAATTTATTTCCTATCAGGAATTCACATTACAACTATCGTTTAATTCGAACTTATCCATAAATTATGTTATCATTCATTTCTTGATTTCCTTAATTTAATTTTTTTTTTTTTTTTTTGCAAAAGTGAATACTCAGAGCAACATGCTACATGTCATTTAATTTTACCGTAACGTAAAGCAGCTGTCATTCATAGGAACTACATAATCCGTAAATTCCTATAAACATGAACTATCAGTCTATAACCCAATGAATATGAATCCTGATTTCTTCCTATATTAAATAATACAAGAAGAAATCATGTGGTTTTAAAATACTCAAACTGCAGTAATAAATACTTAAATAAAAAACAATTTCTGGTACTTAAATACTTAAATAAAAAAACATTTTCTGGGTATAAATTTTTAGTTTATTTTTTCTGTCTTAAGTATATAAGTATTAAATATATAGACTGCCTTTCAATTACAGATTTTCCTAAATAACTTAGATCATGTTATGAAAACAGTTTCAATAGATGCTCATTTAAAAAAAAATATTCGTTATGTTTCATCACGGATGGCGAACATTCTGAAAAAAAAATAAATAAATAAAAATTTCCTGAATTCTCCAAAACAGTGTTGTATCACTAAATATAGTTAGATTTGTATGCTTTCAGCTTTCAAGTTGATTTACCTCTTAAATTTGTTAAGATTGTGTATTTTATACATGAGTAAAAGCATTTGTAGTTATTTTGTTCCCTGCTCTATTCCCAATAAATTCAATATTTTATCGAAAACACTGCCTCCGTTTTTCAGGAAAACTGCAATGTGCACTACTTGAGTATTTGGAAAAAGCAATACAGTCAATACTATCTGCACCGTCGAAAGAAAGCTATTGAGTTAAAGTTAACGCCTGAATTCCTATAGATAAAACAAAATAAGTAAACAAACATTTTTAGTTACCGAAGGCAAATTTTCTGTTGAGATTTTCCCAGCTTCAAGAATTATTTTCTTCCGATAGCCTTAGCGAAGAAATATTCGCAATACGTTTTGTTTTGTAAAAGATGCTATCTGTCCCTTGAAGCTAATTATAATGTTTTTTACCCTTTATATACAAGTATATATATATATAAATAATATGTTAAATTTATGTATTTACTTTTTATTAATGCAGACTGCTGTCGCGAATTTGTGTATGTTTCATTTTTGCAAGCAATGAGCAACATTATTTTAACTTGCAGTCAAATTTAATGGGGACTAAAGTTAAGAAGAACCTGTTTGGGACTTAAATCTAAACTGTATTTTTTGAGGTATAAATTTATATAATATGTTCTGAGTACGGATTCAAGATTATACAACCCAGTATTTAAAATTAGCAGACTTTTTGTAAAAAGCTATTTAATTGACAAGCAGATTTCTAAGATTTGAAAGAATATGAAAATTCAAGTAGAACTCAAAAAGGGAGAAAAAAGAGTAAATTTCAACCATAATTGCAAATAGTAATATCATTTAGTCAGCATCAAAATTACCTTTTATACAACACGCAATTATTGAACGGACACGTTCTGACTTTTTTTTTTTTTTTTTTTTTAATCTGAGGTAAAATATTATGATTAAAATATTCGTACGTGCTGAACAGTGATCAACATCACACAAACTTTTCTTTTATACCTCTGAAAACTGTGATAGCTAAAGTGAAAGATATTTACTATTAAATTAATAAAAGCATAGAACACATATTCCTAAGAGCATGTTGTTCAGAGCTCAGATAAAAAGTTTAATGTTATATGTACAAAGCTATTCCGCACTCGTTTTTTTCATACGATTCGCTCTTTTATTCTTAATTGTTGTTTTTACTGCAAATACATGCCAAAGACCAATGAAACCTGCTGAAATATTTTGAATCAAGATTATGATGATTTTAATTAAAGCAGCTAATTTAATTTTGTGTGGAAAGCATATTTTCAAAAACTGTCAAAAGCGTGTATGTTGTAATAGCCTTTACTGCCTACCTACCTATATTCCTATATTATACTACACATGTATAATGTGTTTTTACATTCATAAAATAATTGTAAC